AATAATAAATACCGTTCAAAAGTTTGGGCTTGGCAAGCTTTTGAAAGAAGTATTTTATGTTCACCAAGGCTGCATTGAGAAATATTATTACAATTTAAAATAATGTTTCCTATTTTAACATTTTAAAATGTCATTTATTTCTGAGATTTCAAAGCTGAATTTTAAGCATCATCTCTCCAGTCTTAAGTGTCACATGATCCTTCAGGAACCCTTTTTTATACGCAGAGTTAGTGCTTAAAAAACATGTCCTATTATTTCAGTTGTGGTACTTAAACATTTTCTGGAAATTGTGATACATTTAATTTTCAGGTTTCTTTGTTCAATAGAAAGTTCAAAGAACAGCATTAATTCATTTAATTATTTTAATAACAATAATAATAATTACATTTCTTCCAGATATATGTTTAACTGACAAAGACATTTGAATGTCTGAAAGTGAGATTAAAATAATAATAAAATAAAGCGCAGTTTCTTTCAGACATTATAAAATGTCTCTAAAATAAGAGAAACTGTCCCTTACTGTATTTCTGTGGAAAGAATCCCCCATCTCCCTTCTCACTGCAGCCCAGCTTCCATCAGAAAACCCCATCTCCATTACTCTTCCCCATTGCGGCATAGTGAACATACACCCTGGCCCGCGAAGGTTAACCTTCAGTCATCAATCACAATTGTCGGAGTGTGAGGTGCTGCAGCACGGCTCTACCATGATATATTACACATATAAGAGGCATCTTAAGGTGGCTAAGAGCCCAGGCCCTAATTTACAAGCCAGGCCTAATGCACCTTATTGTGAAGTTAACAGTGTAGTGCATACATGCACTTATGTCCCTGGATGCTCTCGGCGATCTAATGCACCTCTCGCATGCCAAGCCCGTAATGGCATTCTCTCTGTTATGGATAGAGATGCTAAGAGCACAGCAGATTATCCTTCATGCATGGGATTTCAACTGTATTCTGGGATGCCACTGAGACAATGGAGTCTAGTGAATAGAATAGAATAGAATAGTCTAGTCTAGTCTGTGGACCCAGTCACATGTTGATGTCAAACGCTCATCTTCTCTCAGTTTATCACTGCTTGGCTCCTGGACTTCTGGAGGTTTGCAAGTCAGACTTTTTTGTCAACTCCTCTCTCTTTTCCTGCCTCTTGCACTGACTGGAAAGGACATACAGTAGATGAATCTGCAAATGCAGACTTCCATATTACATATGAAATGATCTCTCTGGAAGTTAAAGTTTAGGGGACTCCCCTATATAAAGTATGAAAGGTATGAAGCTGTTGTCTTCTTTAAAAGAGTAAAGCAGAGTCTGCAAACTATTTCTCACAGAGGATGAGCTGCATCATTGTATTTTACTCCTTAATACGATTACGTTTACACACAGTTCAGTTATTTATGGGAGAGACAACCACATTCTATAACCGAATTCACACCCCGACTGACAACCATATTCTCTTAAAACACGTGCTGTGTAAATGAACCGGTCTGGGCAACTAGTTGTCTGTCATGTCATACAGTGTGTGAGAGAGACGCTCTGCGCTGCACAAATTCGTGTCTACCGTGTGTTGCGGGTCACATGTGTTGTTTCGGTAACTTATAGAGACGGAGATATGAGCTGTGTTGTCATCTGAAGGGTTTAGATCCAGTCTCTGTTCTCCGCCGGAGCTGCTCAACAGTTTTGTGTTCTAAGCACGAATCAAATGCTCCGCTCTCCTCCCAGATATAAAAGCTGCTGTCGGTTAATGAAGATTTGACGGATTAACTCGCGGCTCGATTGGACTCTTGTCGTGTCAAAAGGGATAAGACTTTACAGTTTTATGGACTTTGTCATCTTTGCTATTTCTTTTGGCTTGACTCCAATTGATCCAAACAGTATTTGAGACACTACTGTAAGTTGCTGTGTGAACTAGAGATTTCGATACTCACTGTAAGTAAATGTGGTTGTCAATACCAAAAACTGATAGTGTGAACGTAGCCTTTGAGATTACTGACGACAAATTTGTATTATACAACGAACTGTGATAACATCTGCAACAATCAGAAGGGAACATCAAATAAAGAGCTAAAGGCAGTCCTCCTTTTCCATGAATATTTTAGGAATTCTTTTAAAGAAGTTCTTACAGCTTTATGAACTTGAAACACTACCAGAGCCTTAGCAGAGTATCTCGTTTCTTAAATTCATCGGAAAGCATTGGTATTAGAATCATGTTCAACATGCTCAGATTTGAGTGAGATATGGGTTCAAGTCAGGCCTGTGTCATGATTCCATCCTACTCACCCCTCTCGTATCCCCTGATTTCCTGTCATATTGTCACTGTCTTTACAAAAAGGCAACAAAATACCACAAAAGTGAGATTTATAAAGACACTTTATCATCATTTGTCTTCTGATGAAAACATTTGGGAAAAAATAGGGAAAAAAACAATATCAACAGGTGCAATTAACTCAAATTACAACACTTAGCCTCTACTTTTTCTTTTAAAATGTCTCAAATAAAATTGCATTTAAATAAAATAAATAGAAGCCAGAAGGAAGAAATGTTAGAAGTCAGTAAAAAGATCAGGTAACACTTCAGGTGAAGACACCATTAGAACAGAACAATAAATCCCTCTTACGGCTCTTGCTGTGTTTTGTCCTCTCCGGCTAAATACTCTGTAATTAATCCTGTTCACAATCATCCTGGAGGCTTTGCTTTGGCCTAACAATCACAATAAATTAAACTGCCCTCTGCTCCCACAGGTAAAAGCCATCCAATAAAAGCGGCATAGAAATCTGTTATGCAATCTATTCTAAGAAGCCCGTAGGAATGAGAGCTGTACCCACAAAGTTTGATTTGTTTGTTTATTTCTAAGTGAGTGCATGACTACAGGTTTCTCGTAGAACTCCTCCATTCACATTCCTCTTTACAAGCTGCAGAGCACACCATGCTTGATGAATTAAAACTCTCCACCTGCATTATAGAAAAGCCAGGATTCCTTCAAAATCTTCAGCATGAAGAGTCATTGCTTCATTTTCTTCCACGAGCAAAGTGTTAGTATTGCAGCTGCTACATGTTCACATCATTTAATTCAGTTTATATATGAGCTTACTTGGACTAAGATAATAGAAAAATACTGCTAACAAGGCAAATTCCTACCTGCAGTGTCTTAATGGGGTCAGCAGATAGATTATGGCAGTATATAAACAAAGTCAGTGTCAGCGGTACATGACTGAAAGCCAGAGATTCATAGTGGAAAGGTCTATCACACCAAGTCAGTGAATAATAAAAAATACAAAAAATATATACACATGAATTATTTATATTTCAGTTCATCATTCCGAATGAATATTTAAAATTTTACATTATAACAGAAAAATCATAATTTAAGAAATGTCGTTTGACTTGTCCCATTGTACAGAAAAACCACGCAGTCTCGGTTAACTGTCCCACGACTTGCTCAACAATATCTTATTAATATCAACATTACCTCTAGTAACATAGACCGATTTATTTATTGGCGTAAATGTATTAAAGTAATTTGAAATTATCATTCAAGACCAGCAATAGTGATTTTATTTACAATTACAAAAAAATAGCAATAGAGTAGTAACATCACAGTGAGACCCCCCATTGACAGCTGTAATGCCTGATTAATGGATAAAACACCTAAAATGATTGGGCACATCCCTATATAGCTTTACTACTACTTGATTGCCAATTAAGGTTAGTGTACAACAGACGAATTAGAACAGTTTAAAGATGCTTCATAAAATAGCTACTATGGTTCTATGTTCTAAAGATATTAATTTTATATTTGAGAAAATGTGTTTCGTATTTGTTGTTCGTAATCAATACAAAGTCATTACATGCTGATATTATGGAAAGTTTAAAAACTTTTGGAGGGCACTGTACGACATTTTCCCATTAAGGAAAATAACAGAAAACTGGTGACAACAATACCTGTACTAATACATAAATTGCACAACACTAATCTTCATATCTTTTAGGGTTCCACAGACCCCATGTTGAAAAACACTGTCACAGTACCACTCACTCAACAGTACGCACAACATTACAGTTTATGATTGCGGAATTATTGATCTTGCTCATTCAAACACCAGGATGATTAGCTGGTAGGTCAGCAGCTGTACTTCAGTTAACGTGAAGTTAAGGGGGATTTCATTTATCTACTCTTATGACTGTACAAAGCATATTACATGATTTGTTTTGACAGTCAATTTGGTCTTAACATACTTGAGCAATTATGAGTAGACAATGACGTAAATAATCACAAATAAACCTGTCAAGTCAAACACTTAATTAGCACATCCACCTGTCAACATCACTTTACACATTCATGCGTTCAGTCTCTCAACAGCACCGCAACGACTTAATTGATTTCCAAAATTCATTTAGCCTTATTTTATTCACACTTATTCTCCATCTTCCTGCTCTGAATAGATGTTTGCAGCACAAACCCATTTCAAAAGTCAACAGACCATGTAAAGACATTACTCAAGCTGAAATACTTTCTAATTCAATGTGTGTGGAGGCAAGTAGCTGCATAGATGATCAAGGCATGCTGGGTTTGGGCTTTCACAAAGAATTTGTTGGCCTATATTTGTTTAGACCTGGTTTCTCAGATATAAGACTAGGCAGGTCATTAATGGTTTGCTGAACGTGCTCAAACCTTGCATATTCTAGCATAATCATAAGTCTTCAGTAGTGGATAAACAGCAGGACGTGTCATGAGAGAGGCACAAACAGACAGAGAGAGACAAACATGACATTTGAAGAGAGCAGGTGCCACTTCACATTTTCCTCCTGGAAGAGCTGTGAGCTTTAATTGATTTTCCATCAGGGAAATGGACTGTGGATCCTGGTTCCAACACTTCCACTTCCTCTTTTTTTGTAAGCATTTCCTATGATAAAAAAATCTGCCCTACAAACCAGGTGTTCTCTAACTTAAAGCTTGTAGCCGACGACCTGTGAAATAAGAGTTTACCGCTTCCAGCGGATCCTACCTCATCTTGGTTGCTCACAATCCAGTCATGCACAGTCTTCAGGGCGATTTCTGCTGCCGGCTCATTGGGAAAACCTGTGGATAGCGAGAGAAAGAAAAAAAATCAGCTTTGAATTTGTGCCATAGAAAAAGACTAGCATATGTACTCACACTTTTACACATACGCAAGCATCACCATATGGCTGTTTGCTGCTCAACTCTCTCCACACTTTAAGCATTTACTACAAACAGTCTGTTTAGTATGCACACAAATCCAACACTGAACAATCTCACTACTTGTCCGTCCAAATAAACGCCCACTTTTTAATTATTATACCAACACCTTTGCTGCAATATAATCCACATGACTGTTTGTACATCCCCATCTCACATCCCCAAATGTGGCCTATTAGCTATATTTATCACGGGTGCTTGCCAATTCCTTGTAGATTTACTGATCCATTAAGTCGCATCGACATAATCATTTAAACTGTTCTGCCATCTGTGGCAGGTGCCGGGGTCGTCACACCACGATCTTGATGAGAAAGTAATGACACATTGACCAGTGAATGTAAGAGATGATGCCACTAACTGCCATATTAATCACCAGAGCCTGAGCTGAGATGGGAAACCAGTCTTGGTGTTAACACAGCGTATCGATTGAGAATAAATAGACTAGTGGAGATTAATATTTAATATCGCTGGAGGAGGAGGAGGAGGAGGAGGAGGAGGAGGAGGAGGAGGAGGAGGAGGAGGAAGAGGAGGAGGAGGAGGACGTCATCAAACGGGTGCTTTTCCATTTTAAAAAGGTACATTTAAAGTACATTTCGGACAGATTTGAAACATTCTAACAGAAACGTCTTCAAGTGTTAAGGATTATGTGAGATGAGTTCACAAAATGTTTCTTTTTTTAAATAATCTGTTGGAAAATATAATGTTAAATATAATGCTAGTATTCTATACATTTATTTAAAATGTTGACATTATATACACTATTCAAATTTAAGGTCATCAGTTTTAAAATACTTTATTAATTTCATTAAATACTTAAAGAATGAATACTTTTTTTCAGCGAGGACGGATTAAATTGATCAAACATGACAGCAAAGACATTTTTAATGTTACAAACGATTTTTATTTCAAATAAATGCTGTTCTTTTGAACTTTCTTTTCATCAATGAGTCCTTAAAAACATTGATAACAATAAGAAACCAAATTATAATGATTTCTGAAGGTCCATGTGACACTGCAGACTGGAGTAATGGCTGTTGAAAATAAACTTTGCCGTCAGAGGAATAAATTACATAAAAAAACCTATTATTTTAAATTGTAATAATATTTCAAAATATTACTTAATATTACAATACTACTTAATATCCTTGGTGAACATTAGAGACATCTTTCAAAAACATGATTTCTTTTTTACAACCTCATTTTTTTAAAGGTATTGCATGTGTATATCTAATATATTTATGCAATTTACACATACAGAAAATTAGTCAGGATGCTATAATACAAAAAAAGCTATATTTTTAAAATTGCATTTTATATAAGAAAAATGCTGATATGAATTCATGGTAAAACTGTGAGCAAACAGCACCAATTTTGTGGAAAATGACTCATCTATTACCCAGCGAGTGGCGGTCACTGACCCTCAGACGCCAGGGTGATAGGAGACGTAATTAACACTAGCTGAGGAGATGTTTTCCCTGTCTGTTTCACCTCTCTATCTGCTCAGCAGCCTGACACAGCGCTCTCCGTGTCTCCTGACGTCCTGTCTGGGCCTTTCAACACCAAATAATTTGGGGATCCGTTGGATGAGGGAGTCTCACACCAGCCCTATCCTGTCAGTCTCTGCCCCATCTATTCCCTGTTTGTGTGCTGCTGTCTACCAGCTCTCTCTCTTTCTGACAGGCAGAATCACTGAATGATATCTTCTGCTGGCTGGATGCCGTCAGACATGATCTTTGGGTCAAGAATGTGCGTGAGAAAGCGATAAACCTATTATCTCTTTTGAGAATAATCCCCATTCAGAATAATAGGAACACAAGCACACTTTTGGCTCCTTTTCACAGTAAACAAAATACAGAGAAACCGATGAAATGACTGTTTACAAACAAATGCTAGACTGCAACGCTTCCTGGCTCTTTAGGTGACCCGTATAGCAGTTTTAAAATAGTGCTTTATTCTATACACTCAGTTTCCAAGAGATTAATGGAGATTTTTTAGACTTCCATCAGGGTCAGTGGCTCTGGACAAATACAGAATTTGAAAAATTTACAGGCAGTAAACTAACACTACTTAAGTCATTTTTTCCCTTCTATAACCATGACGTGCAATTTGGGGTTTTAGGGTCATCATTTTATTTACAATTAATTATATTATAAAAATTTAAACCGTTACCTTATGTTTCTGTGCTGATTAATTTAACTAAAATTATCTATATTATAATACAGTGATGTGAAAAAGAAAGTACTACTTTTGAATTCTATGGTTTTACGTATCAGAACATAAAAAAAAAAAATCATGTGGTGTTTAGCAGGTCTTAAAATCAGGTAAATACAACCTCAGATGAACAACAACACAAGAAACCATGATTTAATAGCTCAAAGCCCAAAGCCAATAGCCCATTCTTCTTTACAAAGTTGCTCCAGTTCATTCCAGTTTGCAAACATTTGTTTGTGCACAGCTCTCTTAAAGGGTTAGTTCACCCAAAAATGAAAATTCTGTCAGTAATTACTCACCCTCATGTTGTTCCAACCCCGTAAGACTTTCGTTCATCTTCAGAACACAAATTAAGAGCTGAAATCTGAGAGCTGGCTCACTCCTTCATAGGCTTCTATGTAATTGAAACTTGCCGGCCCAGAAAAGTTAGTAAAGACATCGTTAAAATAGTCCAGGTGACTACAGTGGCTCAACCTTAAGTTTATCAAGCGACGAGAATACTTTTTGTGAGCAAAAAAAACAAAGATAACGACTTTATTCAACTATTCATTTTCTTCCGTGAGTTCACTAGGTCTGCTACCCGACCCGAGCCCGACGGGTCCCGAAAAATGTGCGGGTTTCGGGTCGGGTTCGGGTTAATGTTTAATGAACAGCCTCGGGTTCGGGTCGCGTTCGGGTTTAACTAAGAAAAACTAAATAGGCTATATAATAGTTTGCGTGCCGTGTGCTTTGCCTGCTTGCTGTGTTGTGGTGACCGGCACGCGAGAGAGAGAAAGTAGGCGTGCGCAGATGTGCAATATGTGCATACACACAGTCAGGCTCTCTCTCTCAAATATAATGATAATGATAATGATAATGATATATATATATATATATACACTTTTTAAAAATTATTTGTTTTATTTTATCATATCATTTATATCACAAAACAGTTTTGCGCATGTGCTACCGCTCTCGCGCGTATTTGCTGTGAGAAACAGAATGGACCTCGGGTTCGGGCTTAATATGTAAATGTAATTGTCGGGTCGGGTCGGGTTAAATGATCGCGGGTACGGGCCGGGTTCGGGCTTCAGTTTAAAGCCCGTGCAGACCTCTAGCGACAACGCATGCGCGGGAACTGAGAAGATGTTGCTCAAGATCATTTGATGGGAAAGTATTTAAGGTAAGCCATTCATTTTGCGGCATTGGTAAGGCACTTTTCCGTTTTCTCGTTGGTTTCTTTGATTCGGACATCCAGGAAATGCACACTTTAGAACCATTTTAAACACTATATTGAGGCCCATCTGCATCATCTTGCGCATGCGTCGTGGCGCTCTTGTGAACTCACGTCAGAGGCCTGAAGATGAACGAAAGTCTTATGGGGTTGGAACAACATGACGGTGAGTAATTACTGACAGAATTTTCATTTTTGGGTGAACTAACCCATTAAGGTCCCGCCCCAGCATTTCAGTCGGGTTGAGGTCTGGACTTTGACTGGGCCGTTGCAAAACCTTGATTCTTTTATTTTTCAGCCATTCTGTGGTAGATTTGCTGGTGCTTGGGATCATTGTCCTGTTGCTTGACCCAATCTCGGCTAAGCTTTAACTGTCAGACAGATGGACTCACATTTGACTCTATATAATACTCAGGCTGTTTTTTATGTTTAATTGTTTTTTACATCGGCTACAGTAAGAATGTGAAATGACATGGTTAATGATTGTTGACATGTCAAAGATGATAGAGGCAAAAATTCTAAGCTTGAGGCTAAAAAAAAAGAAAAAGAACTCTACTCTTACTCTACCCTATTTAAAGTGCTTTGAACCTTAACTGTTTACTGAATAAATACGCACAGACTTGTTACTCGTATGCCCCTTTGAGAGAACGCTGATGGATATCACAATGTCTTAAGGGCAGAAAACATGGCAGAGGACACTAGACTCATGTTCCTATTACATTTTCAGAGTGTTTCTGTTTTTAATGTAAATTGATTTGTGCTTCACAAATCAGACATTAATTATACATAGAGAGGGGAAAAAAACGATAGAGAGCCAAAGAGGTCATTGAGAGCCGTGTTATGTCTGTCTATAGAGATATAGGCAGGCTCACTAGAGGTCAGAGTTGACCAAGTTAATAGTCAGAGCTCATTGAGAGGTCCCTCTGATCACACGTCTCACTTCAGACTGCTTAACATGTTCCATACATGTCTGACAGATGCCCACCCCACACAAACATCACGGATCAATCTCAAACTACCAGGAAACTCTCCATGAAAAGGATCTTTTTTCAGTGGATATGCATCAAATCTTTGGATTCAGTTTTTGGGAGACGAAAATGCAACTGCTGTAGTGAATACACAGAAAAAAGGAGGCATTTGAGAGATATAAAAAAGCAATTAAGTATAAACCTTATGCATAGCAATCACAAAAAATGCAAAAAGCACTGTGAGATTTAAAACATCTCAGCATGTGCAATCAAATAATCATAAAGGAAACCTTACATGACTGTATAAAAAAAGCACAGCAGAAAAAACACAGTGAGGATGGAAAAAATATGTTTACTAAGCGCTATTCATTTCTTTATGTTTTAAACTTTTTAATGAAAAACAAATTACCAAGTCTGCCTTTAGGCCACAAAAAAAGTTTGTGACAGGCTCATCCTGAATATGATGCTAC